AATGTTGTCGCAACTTTGTTTGGTTATTTTTAATCCAATCCAAACGCTCAGCCTCAACCAATGCATATGCATTTACAACATACTGTTGGAACAACTTTCCACACAATAACAATGCATTTGATTCTTCCAGCCTGGTTTGAAGTCTATAACTGTAAAAATCACATTGAGTCACATTCTTCTCATTGTATTCATCTGCATTATCATCCCCATACCCAAAGTATGAAATATTTGGGTGCCAACCATCCTCGCCATGTGGGAATAATATGGGATATTGCAAAGCCATTAAACTTGGATGATATATACTAATTTGTTCCAGTTCATTACTTTGATACTGGACAACAATATCAGGAGAAAATGTTTGCTCCCCTGTATCATCAACAATTAAAGCAGTGATTTCATTTGCTGATGGCAAATCATATTCTCTACCATCCCTTTCTCTTTTCGCAAGCAACTTTATTTCAACTTGTCGAATAGTACTGTCATTCAATCTATCCCTTGCATATCGAAATGTCTTTACCAAGATATTACTTGAATCTAGCATCTCCTGTAATTGTTGGATAATTGAATCGCGCAAAGGATTTGAATCTGGATCAGTGGAGAAAAAGTCTAACCTGTTTTGGAGTTCATTGGCAGTATCATAGATGTAGAGTTGAGCAAATTTGGGTCTATTCCTTTCTGTAGGTATCAGACTGCCGATTCGATGATATACTTGACCCCCAATCGAATAAACATATACTCCGCGTCCATTATTTATAGATTGATGCAATTTACCTCCAATAGAAGTAAATGCTAAGACTGCATTATATCCTCTGATATGTTCCAGAAAGTGACGTCTCATTGAAGTATTTGCTTGCAATAGCATATTCAAAACCTTTGGCGGTTGTCTTCGAGGAGGGAGTTTCACTTTACCCTGTCTGCAACACAACGAAAACTTTGGTTCATTGAAATTCCTCGTGGCTTTGGTGCTTTCGTCCTTCCACATTATCGCTCCACAATACACACATTTATATGATGGTTTTCCAATATCAAACACTTCAACAACTGCAATAAAATTAAAATTAAAATTTGAGAAATTAAAATAGCCATAAACTCTATCATTACAATAAAGAAAGAGAAATGAAATAACAAATATATCAACAAACCTGGAAAGTCACCAGAATGCATCAATCGAAGATGATTATAACGATTTTCGGCAAGTTTGATGGATCTCAATAATCTATTTCTCTTTGATTGTAACTTATCCATCTCATTTTGCAGCCTGTATAAGAATTAGTAGAAAAAATAACCATTAACCGCTAACACATAAAATTGAAAAATGTAAATCGAAAACAAACATGGAACAAATGGATTACCAGTAGGAATGTTCACCATTCTTCCATATATACGCCTCTGCCTTATATAAATTGCACGTTTCCTTCTTGTTAATTTGGTCAACGGTTGATTATTTCTCCTCAACTCTGACTTATGTGCATGAATTTCTAAAATTTACATTGAAGAGTAATGATTTTGTAAGTTCAACCATAGTGAAATAGTTAAAGAGATTATATCAGTTCTTAATTCATTGATACTTCGTTATGGCAAAAAACATTTAATAGATAATCATACCATCGGAAATTTTATTTTGTGCTTCAAATAGAGACTGATTAGAATCCACTACACCTTCTGGTGGTAAAAAAACAGCTCTCATATACCCTGAAAAACACGTGAAATGAAACATATTAAATTGAAAATCTATATAATTATGCTAAGACCAATATTTGTACTTACATTCAATTTTTAATGGTCGAATTGACTCATTATTTGAGACTGTCGATGACTTCCCATGGGGAATACTTCTTCTTCGACGCATAGAACTTCAAAAAAAAACATGAAATTTGCCTTAATGCACAAATAATGAGCAAGACGAATGTTAAAGGAACACTTGACAACCACTTACAGAGAAGGGATAGTAATAATGTACAAATAATGAGATAGAGAGAGGCATGATTAAGAAAGAACATAAAAGAACATAAGATTCGCCTTCGACAGCCAATGCAAGCAAGTATATGTGTAATTTGAGTTATAGGAGTTCATAACTCACCAAAGAAAAAGGATTACAGTTGTGTACCTTACTGTCAATCACTTAATTGTATTCGAGTGGTGGAAGAAAGACTGGTGGACTGGTGGAGCAGTTGCGCTCGAGTGTTGCTGTTGTTGTTTTCAAGTGGTAGACTGGTGGTGTCTCTGATTAATCAGATTACAATTGATTACAATTTAAAGCTAATAAAACACAGTGCATATATGACATACAATCCGACGAAAACATGAAACTGAGAACAAAATGAGTATCCATTCGTCCAGAAGCATCCAAAGATAGTCCATTCAGCAGCTGTTTGAATGCAGAAACAGGCACAAATGGATCCTTACAAATATCATAACTGATGAGTCTTTCAGCAAACGGCCATATATTTGACAAAATAATTGAATTCTTCCCACCAAGCTCGATAGATACAGGCTGTTCTATAGAGTTAATCGCTTTCTTTAATTTTCAAAACCTATACTTGCAAACAGCATTATTACAATACCACCAGCTAGATAAACTAAGAAGATGTCACTGCCTTAGCAAAGGCGCCAACCATCAGAATCACTCCTTGGCTAATAGGTACCTGCAATATAGATAGTCTAATTATTTGCGTGTTTCCCAGATTAAAGGCAACAACTCAATGCCGGTGTTTCCCAGATAGAGTTCTTGTAGAGATACTAAATTGTTGATGCTAGATTGGAGGCTTTTGAGACTTCCACACTTCTGTATCCAAAGACTGGATAAACCTTTCACAGGCTCTGAGATATCAGGAAGACTCTCAAGAAGTGGGTTGCCTCAAATATAGAGACCAGACGTGACCATGTCCCATAAATTATTTGGCAGCCAAATATAATCCCATACAATGCTGGATAGAATTGTTGATCCCACTTCTAAATGCGTAAACACATAGGAAGCAGATCGTGTGGTTGTTTACACCAACGAAAGTAGTATAACAATTACAAATCCTCCAATTACCTGTCGTTAATAGCACAAAAGCACAATTAATTGCTTCTGGCGACATAAATCGAATCAAACAGTACTGAACCGGTTGTTTTTTCACATCGGATTACAGATTCAAATGAATTAGTTATCATCCAATCTTAGCGAATCAAATTTTGGCAGTATCTCCGAAGAATTCATCTCTTTCATTGCAGTATCCGACAATTTAAACTCGCTCAAGCTAGTAGAAACAACTCACCGACGGACAAAGACGGTTAACGATTGTGGTTTCTTCAATCCTAGGGTGCCCTTTTCTTATCCTGCCCAGAACCTGTTCGACGATTTGCCCAGCTGAAAATGGTCCCCTTCAGCTGCTTAAAAATGACAACTAAGCTCCGCTCCAGCGGGCTAATAAGTACCTGCATTACAGATTACCCATGAGATCGAGTGTATATGCTTTGCTCTATAACTAATTGGCTACAAACCCAAACTCTAGACCAGGAAACTTGAGAGCCAATGCCTTCTGGTGGAAAGCAATAGGTAAGGACGTTACTGCAAAGTTAGACAATCACTTGAAAAGTCATCAATGTTTAAACTTTAAACATGAAATTGGGTTTAAGCATTCGACTATTATAATCAGCACAAAGGACTGAAGGAGTAATGCCTTCCAATTAGAATGGAACTTATTACTTTGAAAGATTGAAGGCAATACACCTTCTGGTGGTAAAAGTACAAAGGACTGAAGGAGTAATGCCTTCCAATACACCTTGCAATTAGGAGTAAGCTCCGTTTTACTTCTATCTTACTTGCAATTCGTTTTTGGCCAGATAGGTTCTTCCTCACCACACGACTAGACTTGTTAGGGAGTTCTAAAAACTACAAAAAATTGATTTCATGGTCAAGTTAAATGGTGATCTATGCTTGTTTAGGGTTCAAATCTGGAAATCAGGGTGTTTGTGGTTATTAGGATGGTGTTGATTTTGATTCTGAGTTTTATGCTTGGTCAGTAGGATGGTTGACTTGATAATTTGGATTTGTGGGATTGCTCTGCCGGCTTAGAAGTTTTCTTATTGTTCCAAAAGTTGGAAAGCTGTATGTTTATGGTTCAAATCTGGAAATCAGGGTGTTTGTGGTTAATCTGGCTTATAAAGTACACCACACCACACGACTCAGACTTGTTAGGGAGTTCGAAAAACTACAAAAAATTGATTTCATGGTCAAGTTAAATGGTGATCTATGCTTGTTTAGGGGTTTCTGTCAATTTCAGAGCAGGTTGTGTTGATTTTGATTCTGAGTTTTATGCTTGGTCAGTATGATGGTTGACTTGATAATTTGGATTTGTGGGATTGCTCTGTCGGCTTAGAAGTTCTCTTATTGTTCCAAAAGTTGGAAAGCTGTATGTTTATGGTTCAAATCTGGAAATCAGGGTAAATTCGTTTGATATAGTTTGGTATTGGTGGTCTTTGGGGGGATTTGGGATAGATTTATGGTTTGTGGTTTGGAATCTGATGGCCCTTTATTGTTTTGTTAAAAGAAAAAAATCATTGTGTGTGTCTTATGATAATTTTGGGTTAGATAATGGTGGTCGAATGGTATGCTTATGGGTTGTGATGGTTAAGAATCTAGCAGGGGATGGAAATTCACTACTCATTCATTCAAAAGTCTAGCCAAATAACACTCAAACAATCTGACTAATAAGGGTTGCAAACAGAAGAATCTTTGTTCTGAGGACACTATGAACTCTAATGTATACATACTGATTCATGAACTCTAATATGACGAATATAGAAGGTATGGAAGTGGGAAGAGAGAGAGAGATACCTCGTCTGTAAACTCTAGGACCAGCACTGTGGTTAAATTCCAGTTCGACCGCCGGAAACCACTCCTCTATGCTTTTTACTCGGAGCTAGGGCTGGTGCAATCGCCGTGAATGCGAGTATCCCTTTCCTCAGAATCGATTCCTCTGCTCCTAACTTGACCGAACTTGAGCAGCCACCAACTAAACGACCAAGGGGCGAAGGAAGGGGAAACAAAATCTCCAAGCCCAATCTATTCTTTTTGAACACAACACGGGCCCCGAGTTGATGCTCGATTTCCCTGTTTGGATAAGTTGCTGTCCTTGAAGAATTCCCCTTACACCCCTTTCACTTGCGGATGCAGAGCCACATATAGCTGAGTTGCAGCTCCCTGTATTCAACCATCAAACATACACTGTTATGTTACATCTAAGGATTTAACCCTCCTCCAAGAAAGAAACTTCAGCTTCACAACCAATCAAGTAAAGTAGGAAACCACTGTGCGTGTATTCTGTACAGTACCTGGCTTGAAGTTTTGAGGAGGTATGCTCGATTTCCGGTAGCTAAAGAGACTGGAGACGCGAGCTGAACTGGAGGCTAGAGGAGGCGATGGGCGCGGTGAGTTTGCCCAGCAGCGAGAGAGTTGGGGGATGGCTAGAGATGCTGGAGACAGGAGCGGTGAGCTGGGCGGTGAGGCGATGACGTCGCGGTGAGGTTGTTTGGGCAGGAGCAGATCGAGTTCGGCGGCGGCTGGCGAGCGGTGAGGTTCGATTTCGGTGAGGATCGATTTCCGGGTGGTACAGACTACAGAGGCGACTGGCGAGGCGATGACATCGCGGTGAGGTTGTTTGGGAAGGAGCAGATCGAGTTCGGCGGCGGCTGGCGAGTTGTGGTTCGTTTGGGAGAGATGGCAAGAGGGAAGAGTATCGGTCTGTAATGGACTTCGAGTGACGGAGCTTTGCATTGGGCTTTGAGGGAGGGCCCAGACATTAGCCAACGGAGGCATTTTTTATACGCGGCCCATCACAATGGAACGGACCGAACGGAGCCATTTTACCAAATTGGCCTCCAGTGAACTGCGCAGAGCGCAGGAAAACACAAATTAAAGGTGATGCTGGCTGGAATCTCTATAATGTAGTGCGGTCTGTAATGGACTTCGAGTGACGGAGCTTTGCATTGGGCTTTGAGGGAGGGCCCAGACATTAGCCAACGAAGGCATTTTTTATACGCGGCCCATCACAATGGAACGGAGCCAACGGAGCCATTTTACCAAATTGGCCTCCCGTGAACTACGCAGAGCGCAGGAAAACACAAATTAAAGGTGATGCTGGCTGGAATCTCTATAATGTAGTGTTAGGATGTTTGTTGTGAGGTCCATTCCATATTCCCTACCATTTTCTATAAATTAAATCTTTATCCTCGTCCAAAAATACATAAAAGATTGATTTATTTGTCAAAATTGGTTGATGGTGGTTTTGCTTTGGATTAATTATGTCTATCTTTATTCTCAATTTTCATATTAATAATAAAAATATATTACATCGTTGAAATGAGACTATGACATCGACTTAGCTGGCAATCACAAGTCCTACATTTTCTTGGCCTTCCTGTTCAAGTGGCAGACGATTAGGGTTGTTTTGGGTTTAGCAATGCTGAACTAACAAGACGAATTAGTTTTTGTTCTTGATGCAGGAGCCGATGGGCTATTGTATGATTTTCTCTATATAATTCTTATTTTCTCCTACGGTTATATAATGGATTCTCTAATTTTGTTATTCAACATATTGAGTCTGGTTTATGTGGAAGGACAACTTGCCCGCCATTCTGATTGTTGGATTGGCTCCTAAAGTTGAATAATTAGTTATAAGTGATACTTATTTTCTAATTTTTTTCCTATGCTTTTTCATTTGTCCATGGGTAACATGTGTATGGCCAATACAAGAAACTCTAGCATACTAATTGGATTGTTGTGTGATTATGATCTTAGCTTTGATAGAATTTGATTAATATGAACCGAAAATAGTGAATATTGGTGGTTCACGAAACAATGGTTAAGATCATGATTAAGATGCAAACTATCTCATTTTTTAGAAAATTAGTTTCAGTTAGTATGAGATAATTCAATATTCCTGCAATACCAAGATGTACTAACTACTAACAATGGGGAGAAAAAAAAACTATTTGATTAGTTGCACATAATATTGGGTCTCATTTTGGGCTTTTAAAAGTGAACTTTGGGCTTAATGTTGGGTTTGTCTATGGATAAATTTTGTAATCACTTTAAAGTAAGGAAAAAAATACTATATGACTTGATTTAGTTTCATAGTGTGTATCTTGAAAAACTTGTCAACTAATTATTAACATAAAAATATATTCCTTAAATTCATGTTCTTTTATTTTCCAAAAAACATCCTCAACCAGACCGATCAGTTGGACCAGGTTTGATCAAAATTGGTCAGGAAAACGATCTCCTGTAAATAATTATGAGTGTTAGCTTATAGTCGTTCAAAATCGGAAAATCAATGGCCGGACCAATTTTTCTGGTTTCCGACTCGACAACAAAATATTTTTCGTTTTGGAATGATTGAATAAGATGATGCTAGAGTTTTAATGGGTTATTTATATACTTAAATGTAAAATTACTGAATGATACATGTGCGATAAGTTTCATTTGAGTCATTAATTTTTTTTAATTACTCCCTCATTTCTCTCGATACATTTGTCATATGTTTTTCGGTGCACTTCTCGGTTTAAGAACATTTATGTAGTTGGAACCAGGAAAATTAAATAAAAAATTTGTAGCTAATTGTTTTAAATGATATGATTTACTTACGTACTTAAGCTAATCTTTGATTCCTTACAAAAAGTCTCCATCTAATTCTTTTTTTTTAACATACTGCGACAAAGTGCGGGCAACACCTTGTTTGTGTATAAGCACAAAGTTTTGTTTATCTCTTTACAAGTTCTTACATCTTGGGTTGGAATGGACAGATAAGGTGTTATAATCTTTAGTTGAAGAGGGCATTGGAGAAGGTATGCACAGTAGTATTGAGCCATTTAAGAAGAACTCACCAACCATCGTGGCGGTAGTTTAAACTCTTACAACTCGGTCATATCACGCTTAAACTTGTTATCAATATAACAAATTATATGAATCGAATACAAAATTATTTCATCATATATTCAAATAGATTGCCAACATAATAAATCGTTAGAATTCTAATACGATATCATCTCATTCGTTGAAAATAACTGCAAATATAGCATATAGACGTATCCAACAATTCCTATGGAAATATGGAACTTGTAGCATTTTCAAACATATTCAGAGGGTTCAATTGTACTTTGATTAATAATGAGATGAAAAGGGTAAAGTAGTGTAGTCACTGACATGGGGAGTTGTGGGTGGTGACTGGTGAGTGTGTTTATTCGATTTTTTTTCCTCCAATGGCAGCGCTCGTTATTCTGATATAGGTCGAAAAGGGGGCTAATTTTCTGTGCACCCATTTCCCTTTTCTTTTCATGCCCTTTTTCTCACCCACTTTCCCTCCCAAGTTTTGCTTTTGCATGTCCCTCTCCTTCTCCTCAGCAATTCCATAACCCATTTTCCACACGATCATGGGATAGTAGCTCTTCCTCTCTTCTGTAACCACTTTCTCAACTGCTGAATTTGTGCATGTCAACACATCTTCCAGTTAAATTTTAGTAAGTTGTAGTTTTTTTTAGAAGGCAGACGCCAAAGAATCATATCATTAATATCACGACACATGGAAATGCCCATGTTGTCATACAACAGCCAATAGCAAAAGTTCGGGTCGCTCACATCGAACGGATGTGTGCTAAAATAAAGGGAGTTCCCCTTGGAAGCTAAGAAATCAGCTGCAAAATTACCCTCCCGTAAAAACATGGTTAATTATCACAACCCACTCCCTAGCAAGAATGCTCTTAAAGAGCTTAGCAACGTGACCATGACAGTGATCACTATTGCTCCTACTCCTAATAATAGCTAAAGCAGTAGTGGAGTCAATGTTGAACTCCACTCTTCTATACCCAAGATGCCATGCCATTGGTGGTACTTCAGTTTACTGAAACCGTTCACGTTTGGTCACTCTTCGTCCAACTCCGTTAACTTTTACTTACGTGGCGGTCAACTCTAAAAGCCGTTAAATGTGTGACGTGGCAATTTAAAAATAATTAAAATTTTAAAAGCAACGGTCAATTTGAACGGCGAGTTGCTCGAATGGAGGATGCCCAAGGTAATCTCCGCCTACGTCCAACAGGACGATCTCCTCTACCCGATAACAAGCAATATCCTCACCGACCCAATCACCATCGAGAATGGCTGGATCGGGGAAACTCGAGCTGCCCAATTACCTGCCAGAAACTGACCATCACTCTGCTCCCCAAAACCAACTACGTCCTCAAGCGCCTAATCGCCACCTGGCTCGAACAAAACCTTACCTCTTCTTCCCCTTCCATCGAAACCCCTCTCTGCCGGAGGAAATCCGCCACCGCCGCCGTCGGAGAGTCCACCACTCCGTCGTTGTCTCCCAACAGCGTCATCGTCGCTGCGGCGGTCGTGGACGGCTCCGTTGCCGAGCTACGCCACACGATCAACAACCTCTGTATGACGGAGATCCTCGACGAATCGGAGGCGGCGGTTCTGAAGCGACTTATCCAAGACAGATCGATCTCTCCCCACCAAGATTCTTCCCTTCCCTCCTTTTCCCCTCTGCTTGGTACTAAATTCTCCCACCTCCCAGTCTGTTCTCTTCTTCTACCTATCATGAAATGAAACCCGCGCTTTCTTTCCTCAGGGTAATGTGTGTCTCTCTCTGGTTCTCTTACTTCACTGGGTAGCTTCTAATTCTACGAAATTGGTGCTCCTCAGTGAAGGGCCAGTTGCCAATGACTGAATTTTGCTAGTTTGATTGCTCTCCACTCTCTACTTCCATTTGGGTTTCCTCCAAAAACTCTCTTATACGTTTCTGAAATTGGTACTACCGCAAAACCGAGTTGAGACTTGTAGCCAAGATGATTTTCTTGTACAGTTTGTTGTATGAGCTAAATTGTTGGGCTTAGAACTAAACTGAGCTTCACTTTGCTAATGGGAATAACTGCTGTTTGCTTTTGTGCTACTATTGGCGCTCTGTGGTCTGAAATTGAAAATTGTATTAGGGAAAATGTAGGCTTCGAATTCAATGGTTTTGAATCTTGGCCCTTTTTTCATTATAGTAGAACGAATTAAGAATTGGGCAATCCCTCCATCCAATGTTGTAGCTTATCCCTTTTTTCCTCATAACAAACAGAATTACTGTTTTCCCGACGAGAAAAATAAAGGAAAGAGAATTGGATTTTGCACCTTTGACTTCCAAACAAACGATCAAACAACACAGTTCACACCTCTTTGAACAAAGTTCAAACAAGGGTGTTCATTGTTTTGATGAACTACGAGGCAAATCTACATTAAATTAGCCCTACTCCTATGGAGGTTCAGTGAGAGCTCCAAAAACTACGACTATGGCTAAAATCTGCAGAGGAAAGGATAAAAAGATAAAAGTTGACAATAGGTTGTCTGGTGTGATTTTGGCGAACCCATCTCTGTTATCTTCACCTCCTATTTATAGCCACCAGAAGTAACTGCCCCAAGAAACTTCTCTGCTGACGTGTAGTGACAGTTACCCACTCAACTGCTATGACGGTTACCCTGATGTTGGATGTGGGATCCTCTTCAGTCTTGACTTCCTCATCTTAAGATCTCAACCTCTGCTCTTGGCATCTCCTTCGTAGTTTTGCTTATCCATTGAGTAAAAATGGCTTCTCACATGACCCCCTTGCCTTGGCCATACCATGGGGGTGTACATTGGTGACCCCCTCGCCATACCATTGGGCATCCTCCATGGGGGTCATATGGATCACCCCCGACACTTTATCATCCTCATGGGAGCCGGCGTTAGTGACCCCCACCCCTGATCATACCATGGGGGGTGGTATGTTGGTGGTCCCTCTCACCATACCATTGGGGGCATCCGCCATGGGGTCATATGGATCACCCCACCACTATATCATCCTCCCTTGCCACGTCTTGGGTGTGGTATGATGGTGGCCACCCCCTTGGTACCTCCTAGGGGTGGTCGTATGATGCCCACCCCCCTTACCACGTCCTGGTGGTAGTAGTATGGTGTCCACCCCCTTGCCACGTCCTGGGGGTGGTGGTATGATGCCCACCCCCCTCTGCGTGTCATCGGGGTGGCTCCCATACTTAGTCAAATTTTGATATGCATGGCGCGCGTGGTGGCACGGAGTAATGGGCCCAAAAACCCAATCCTCATGGCCCACTCAACTGATTTAAACTCATATGATTAAATTGGCTTTATAAAGCCATTTAATTCCTTGTTTTTAACCGATGTGGTACAAGGTTAATTTTTATGGGTAAACAAATGCCCCCCAACTACCTAGTGCATAAGAATTATGGATTAAGTAGTTTCACACCAACTAGGCGATCAAACTCAAATAGTTGGCGTTACAATTTAAATGACCAAAACAATCCCAATTTCTTCTTCTTTGCTGCCGTGTGGGAGGAAGGAAGGGAGTCAAACATAATTATTCCATAGTCCTTCCATCTCGACACAACCGTGCCCCCCATGCCACTGTGACCACCAACAGTTATGGTCACTCTTAAATCACACGACGTGGTATCTTTTGAAGTTATTGGGCTAGAACAATAACCTACTACCCCCCCCCCCCCTAGTTAATCCAAACTACTACTAATCATACCTCATGCCATTCACCATCACCTCCATGTCTTGTCATGGGGTATATAGTTCACACCTTAAAGTTTGGCATGGTTAGGCCACCTTAATGGCCTGACAATACGAGTAATGATTGAGGCTTACCAGTCGTGGCAAGATTCTCACATCAAAACCTACTAACTTCTTCTGAAACTTGCCACTTTGGGATTTTAAATATATATATAGCCATGATTGGCTTTTCTAGGTTAATTAATATAATTTTTTTTACTTTTTTTATTGTATGTAATAAGTAGTTACAAACATCATTGATCTCCATACCCTTTGGCAATAACCAAAGTGCCAAAGGTATACATCCACTGCCAAGTCCATGTATTAAACCAAACAAGCCAACCATACACCATATGGCCATGGTTATTCAAAGGAGATGATTCTTCACAAGCTGACTTTGAATCAACCCCTACACCATTTTTTCCCTTATGATCCTTACCATCACTTTGGACTTGGGCATGCTTGCCCTGGTCAGACACTATCACTTTGGAACCCGTGGTCATAGAGTTGTCCACCTCAATACTAGCATGACCATCCTCATTTTGTTGTGTTGGTCTCACCATCTCACCAGGTACTACTGGGTATTGCCCCTTTTGTGCTTTGGAATTCTTACGTAGGGATCTCCTCCTTTGAGTCTTTGTCATCCCCCAATAGCTACTGGCTGACTATGCATATCATAAATATGCCCCCCTCCTTGTGGCACATTGGGCATCTTAGAAGTCCTTCTCATGGGAAGAGGGCCATGTGCCACCCATTGCCTTCTTTGCCCCAATGTCGGTTGAATGACCCCCTCTACTTGTCTTTGATAGGATGGGTATCTCGGCCTATGGGGTGGACCAATTCTTTGTTGGACTGGTCGATTCGGTCTCACCTCATCAAGTCTAGAACTCTTTTTGCATTGGGCACATAGCTTCTCCACCTCCCTTGACACCTTAGAAGAGACCGAGTTGGCCTGCGTACCCTTCGATGACTCTCCCTGCTCGAACACCATGGTGGGGGTCCCTTGTTGCAGTGTTGTATCCAACACCAGCTTGAAACGGGGGAGCTCAATTTTTTAGAAGTCTGGGTTAACCATGTTGACACCAAGCAAGTTCGGAAATGGGTTGGTATCTACCAGCATGGCATCTTTCTTTGGCTCGGGGAGCTTGATGCGACCCTTCTCAATGGCATCCTGCAATATATTGAGAAAAACCACACATGAGTTTGTGGAGTGTAGCATGTTGTTGTGCCACTTACAATATGTTTTCCCTCTTAACTTCTCAGGGGGTGGGATGTTATGCCCCCCTGTCAACTTGATTTGACCATCTTTGTAGAGTTGCTCAAATATCAAGTCGGCCTTAGAAATATCAAATGAATACTTCCATGGCTGGATGGGCGCACAATTTGGTCTACCCCCTTGTGGTTCACTGTCCATATTAGCCAAAGGAGCACATACATATGGCTTCCCCAGAGTTAACTCAGCCAGGTCTACCTCCACCTCGTTGGCCTCTTGGCCAATATGGTTGACAGGGTAGCCGATGTCGGGAAAGTATTGCCCCATTGAAGCACTCCTCCTATTCTCCTCTTCTTTAAGAAGAGATTCATATCTCACCGCACAAGACATGAGTTGGAACAAGTCAGAGAATTCTCTATCTTGGAATTTTTTCCTTAACTCAAAACTCAACCCCCTTGTGCTAACTTGACAAACTCTCTCTCTGTCAAGTTGACAAAACAACGGTTACGAGCATTCTTGATGTTTGTCAAGAAGTGCTCTACTGACTCCTCTGTCTCTTGGCGCATTCGTGTCAAATCAGCAATGGAAACCTCACGCTCAGATCTATAGAACTGAGCATGGAAGATTTGCTCCATCTGCTGCCATGTTTGGATGGAGTTCGATGGCAAGTTGACATACCAGGCAAAAGCAGGTCCTGTCAATGAGTTTCCAAATACTCTTAACTTAATAAAATCTCCTACATCCCCACACTGGACAATAAAATGTCCAATGTGCTCCACAGTAGACTGGTCCCCTATCCCAGTGAATGTTGCAAACTCGGGCACTCTAAACCCCCTTGGGAATGGGTAGAGTCTATCCACCCACCCAGGGTATGGTTTTCGATAAACAGGTGGCATGGTGGGTCTCACTCCCATGCCAAATTGATCGGCAAGAAGTTGAGCCACCTGATCCCTTAGAGTGTTGGGATCATGCCCCCCTGGCTGCACCCTTGGGGTACGAAACCCATGGGGTCCATGCCATGCCCATTGAAATGGGGTGGCATGGGTGTTGGGTATGCTCTGGGAGGAACTTGATCTCTCCCACCTAAGCCTACTCCCCCTCCCATGTGTGCAGGCACCGTATAGGGCCTTGCCATTGGTATGGGTATGGGTGGCGGTTCCACTAGAGCAGAATGTGTAACTCCCAAATTCTCACCACGCGGGGGAATTTCTCCAACTCCCACATTGGGTATCCCTTCCACTTGAGAAGTGGTAGGAATCTCGCCGCGATTCATGCGGTGAGGAGCTGGTTGGTTTGTCATCGGCGGAAAGAGGTTATCTTGCTGTGGCTGACCATTTCTGCCGCCGACGGGAGATGAACTAGCATTTACATAATTGTTAATGGGGTTTGGATTCCCGCCATCTAATGGCAGAGCTCTAGATTGGATTATTGGTGTGGTTAAAAACCTTCTAAACTCATCAAAATCACTTTTATTCTTATTAACCACTTCAAATAATTGACTTAGACGTCTATCAACTCTAGAATTAAGACAGTCCATTTGAGAATTTACCTGATGAGAAACAACTCTAGCCTCCTCCATCACGCGACGGTTCTCCGCCATCATTTGGCGGTTCTCCTCTGTGGCTTGACGGTTCTCTGCCACCAGCATGCGGTTCTCCTCCATTATTTGACGAAGGACCCCCACTACTTCACCAATATCTCCACTAGGCGTCGCCGTTGGTAGGATCTCCGCCCCACCATTGTTTCCGGCCACCGCCTCTGACACTTGGCCATGTTCAATGTTGGCCACTTGCTCCTCCATAAAACCAGCTGGAGAGTCACCTTCTTAATTCCTCCGCCTCAGAGCCATCAAATCGAACACACGTGTCCCACCAGGTGTGCCCATTTGTTTTCCCGACGAGAAAAATAAAGGAAAGAGAATTTGATTTTGCACCTTTGACTTCCAAACAAACGATCAAACAACACAGTTCACACCTCTTTGAACAAATTTCAAACAAGGGTGTTCAATGTTTTGATGAACTACGAGGCAAATCTACATTAAATTAGCCCTACTCCTATGGAGGTTCAGTGAGAGCTCCAAAAACTACGACTATGGCTAAAATTTGCAGAGGAAAGGATAAAAAGATAAAAGTTGACAATAGGTTGTCTGGTGTGATTTTGGCGAACCCTTCTCTGTCATCTTCACCTCCTATTTATAGCCACCATAAGTAACTGCCCCAAGAAACTGCTCTGCTGACGTGGAGTGACGGTTACCCACTCAACTGCTATGACGGTTACCCTGATGTTGGATGTGGGATCCTCTTCAGTCTTGACTTCCTCCTCTTGAGACCTCAACCTCTGCTCTTGGCATCTCCTTCGTAGTTTTGCTTATCCATTGAGTAAAAATGGCTGCTCACATGACCCCCTTGCCTTGGCCATACCATGGGGGTGTACATTGGTGACCCCCTCACCATACCATTGGGCATCCTCCATGGGGGTCATATGGATCACCCCCGACACTATATCATCCTCATGGGAGCCGGCGTTAGTGACCCCCCACCCCCTGATCATACCATGGGGGTGGTATGTTGGTGGTCCCTCTCACCATACCATTGGGGGCTTCCGCCATGGGGTCATATGGATCACCCCACCACTATATCATCCTCCCTTGCCACGTCCTGGGGGTGGTATGATGGTGGCCACCCCCTTTGGTACCTCCTGGGGGTGGTTGTATGATGCCCACCCCCCTTAGCACGTCCTGGTGGTGGTAGTATGGTGTCCACCCCCTTGCCACGTCCTGGGGGTGGTGGTATGATGCCCACCCCCCTCTGCGTGTCATCGGGGTGGCTCCCATACTTATTCAAATTTGGATATGCATGGCGCGCGTGGTGGCACGGAGTAATGGGCTCAAAAACCCAATCCTCATGGCCCACTCAACTGATTTAAACTGATATGATTAAGTTGGCCTTGTAAAACAATTTAATTCCTTGTTTTTAACCGATGTGGTACAAGGTTAATTTTTATGGGTAAACAATTACACAGTCTAAACTACGGAACTAGCTTGGAAAACCATTTGCTTGCCTCGGTATGAAGTTCTGGGTGTCTCCTACACTGGATCAGGATTTGCAAATGGGGAATTAACCTACGGGAGAAGGGCCAAGGGGCGCCATTTTCACGGTTTACTCGTCGAGGATCGCCGACATATGTCAACAACCTCTCGATGGTCAGAACTGCCGCCTCCGATTCGTCGAGGATCTCCGACATACATAGGTTGTTGATCGCGTGGCGTAGCTCGGCAACGGACCCGTCCACGGCCGCCGCGGCGACGATGACGCTGTTGGGAGACAACGACGGAGTGGTGGGCTCTCCGATGGCGGAGGTGGCAGATTTCTGCCAGCGGAGATGGGTTTGAATGGAAGAGGAAGAAGAGGTAGGGTTTTGTTCGAGCCAGGTGGCGATTAGGCGCTTGAGGACGTAGTTGGTGTTGTGAAGCAGAGTGATGGTCAGTTTCTGGCGGGTAATTGGGCAGCTCGAGTTTCCCCGATCCAGCCATTCTTGAATCGATTTCCGCTCATAGGTCTGGCCGATCTCGATGGTGACTGGGTCGGTGAGGATATTTCTTGTTATCGAGTAGAGGAGATCGTCCTGCTGGACGTAGGCGGAGATTACCTTGGGCATCCTCAATTCGAGCGGCTCGTCGTTCAAATTGACCGTTCCTTTTAAAAATTTTAATTTTAAAATTTTTATTATTTTTAAATTGCCACGTCACACATTTACCGATCAACTTTTAGAGTTGATACCACGCAAGCAAAAGTTATCGGAGTTGGACGGAGAGTGACCAAACGTGAACGGTTTCAGTAAACTGAAGTACCACCAATGGATTTAAATATTTCGAGTGACCAAACTTGAACATTTTTTGTAATCTCGGTGACCAACCATACAATTAACCCCTCAAAGAGCTTAGCAACGTGACCATGACAGTGATCACTATTGCTCCTACTCCTAATAATAGCTAAAGCAGTAGTGGAGTCAATGTTGAACTCCACTCTTCTATACCCAAGATGCCATGCCATTTCCAGCCCTTCCACAACTCCTTTTAGTTCAGCTCTAGTGATAGTGCACCTCCTAAGATTGCTAGCAAACGCTCCCAGACATCTTCCCAAGTAGTCTCGAATGAGGCCCCCTGCAGCAGCATGACCAGAAGGTTGGGCAATAGACCCATCAGATTGAACCTGAACCCAGCCTTCTCTTGGAGGTTTCCAGCAAATCTAGAGTCTGGTTTTTGTCATGTTCACAGGTGCAAGGCACTTCTCAGAGTTGGTCTGTCCTTGATTGCTTGAAAGTGCCCTAACTATCTGTTTTTTATTTACTTTTCAGAGGGTTGGGTCTCGGGTTTGGGTTTAGGATCAATTAATTGGGCGGGTTCGCGGGTTGGGCAAGAATGGCTGACAGGGCGGGTAAGGCTGAGCTGGCGGGTCGGGTCTTCGTTTTTTAATGTTAAAATATGCTGACGGTGTCTTCCTGTTATCCACGTCATCACTAAACGGTCGTCATTAACGGAGTCTAACGGAGGTTAACGGAGAGTGACAGAATATGGACTGTTCAACTAATTCGAGTGACTATAAATGGAATAAATCAATTTGAGTGGCAAACGTGAAATTTTTTAGCAATTCGAGTGACCAAACTTGCAATTAAGCCTAAATTGATTTTTGCCAGTGCATGTGTAGTAACATAATAACATTTTATGTTGTCTAATGAGTCCAGATGTTTTTTGTGCACATGTGCCTTCTATTTAAAATTCGAAGATTTTGGAAACTTGTGTGGCCGGTTGGCGCAGATTTAGATTGTGATATATGAGAAACAAATAAATATGTGGTGGTTCAAGAACAAGCATATATCAAGATTCAATTGTTAATTTTCGTCAGAGCGACGAAGGTAAGCTTTCTTCCCAAACTAATGGAATTCGCGATGATATTAGAACTTAGACGGACACCTGACGTGCCTCGGGTCACTGTATAATAATATTTTGAAAGATATAGTGCTCTGGGAATTTAGATGATCTATGTGGAAATCAGAGCCTTTGATATGTAACATGGAGGAAGCCAACTAGGGATATGATCTGATAGTTGGGGCTAAGATCTAATGCGCAAAGGGAATCGTGACTTGTGATTTGATGAAATCGACTGCTTTCGGACTCGTATCTTCCCTTATTGTCTTCAAACTTCTGTCGATTGGAACAAAGACTTCCCCTAATTCTGTTCAGTCCCTGCGCGCTATGATGAGGTGGACAATTCCTTACGGAAGCTCGAGAGGAGGGGGAAAAATCAATTCCGTTCAGTAAAAAAAACTATGAGAACAATAATAATAATAATAAATCACTTCCGTTTGTTGTCGTTACTCACACAAGCTCCCGTTAGCCAAACCAAACAAATTGCTCCCGTCACAGACTACAGCTGTGCGGGCTACTTAGTAGTACCTGTCTTCCTGCAGATCCGTTTGATCTTTGACACCAAAATGGCCTCTGGAGACTTGATGAGAAGGCTGTGAGAGCCTGATTTTGCTATATCACCAGTAATAAGTAATTGTATTATATTTAATTAGTTTTCAATTCAAAGGTTGTCTTCATTCGACTTTTTCCCCCTTCTTTTTTACAAGATAGTCCCAATTCGATTGCTTGTTTATATACTTGATTATCATAGTTTTCTTTAACCTAAACGTTAGAATAATGGATGAATAGTTGAATACAAAAGAATTGTAAAACTCTTTGTAATTAATTTTAGGGTTAATATATTTTTCTGGCACTGAATCTTTTCTATACTTCACCTATTTTTATATCCTTACTTTGCTATTGTGTAGGATATAATGTACTCTGCTTATTAAAAAGAAAAAGGATACAATGTACTCCAAGAATATATCATTTGTAACCTTTGAATGAGTATTTTTTGTTATAACTATATATAATTATTAAAATACGGTGTGGATTGCCATTACTATTAAACAGAAGTTGAAGGGGGAAAAATCAGTCAGTCTTAACCAATGAAAAGGAAAAACTAACCATCCTAATTTCTAGCCGGCGAGGGGATCAAGACGATTTTGGGAAGGGGAAATAAAGTCTCGAAACTATAGGCCGCATGCAATGCGATTGATTGTAATTGTAACCATTAACCAAAATAGAAATAAATTAAAACAAATAAAATATAAAACCTAAGTGATAGGACGGGGGAAGGGGATATTGATGCCAGCAAAATTCCAATTGAGGTTTACTATTTTATTAATTTTTTAATGAGAGCAGGTCAGACGACTCTGTCCCCTTCAGTCTGTCCCTAGACTACTCTCAGTAATTAATGGGTTGTGGCTTTCTTATATTAAGGAAAAAATAAAAAAGATTTGTTTGAGAAGAAATGAGTCAGTCCTCCTCTTATGTATTTCTCCCTTCTCACGCCATCGACTGAGACAAAGGTATTGTAAAAAAAAAAAGACTGAGACAAAGGTTGTGGCTGCCAGCTATATTATTTTCGCCTTTAGCCCTCATCCCAATTCCAATTGGAATGCATGGTCATATCACATATGGGTTAAAGATAAATATATTTTAATTACGGGTTAATTGCATGGTTGGTCACTGAGATTACAAAAACCTTCACGTTTGGTCACTGGAAATATTTAAATCCAATCTTGGTCACTCAAATTATTTAAATGGTTCAAGTGTGGTCACTCTCCGTCCATTTCCGTTAACTCTAGCTTACGTGGCAGTCAACTTTCATTCTTCTCCTCCTACTCGTACTTACCAACGTGACCATGACAGTGATCACTATTGCTCCTACTCCTAATAATAGCTAAAGTAGTAGTGGAGTCAATGTTGAGCTCCACTCTTCTATACCCAAGATGCCATGCCATTTCCAGCTCTTCCACAACTCCTTTTAGTTCATCTCTAGTGATAGTGCACCTCCCAAGATTGCTAGCAAACGCTCCTAGACATCTTCCCAAGTAGTCTCGAATGAGGCCCCCCGCAGCAGCATGACCAGAAGGTTGGGCAATAGACCCATCATATTGAACTTGAACCCAGCCTTCTCTTGGAGGTTTCCAGGCAATCTAGAGTCTGGTTTTTGTCATGTTCACAGGTGCAAGGCACTTCTCAGAGTTGGTCTGTGCTTGATTATTGATGTTGATTCAGGAAATCACCCTCTGAATCACACCAACTTCCGAATAAGTCTTGCCATCCATCACTTCTTCATTTCGTTGTTTCCACAGGTTCCAGCAGATTATACCAAATTCAATCCATGTCTCCTGATCCATCATGTTCTTGATCAGCCACGTTTGAAAGTCGATTCCATTGTCATTCACCTTGAGTCTGTTCTTGAAGTGCCTCCAAAGGCCAGCAGTTTTTCCACACTTTTTGAGGATATGCTCTGTTGTGTCTTCTGTTGTTCTGCAGTGGTTGCACATTCCATCCTTGGTAAGCTTTCTCTTCTCTCTTTCCTTGTTAGTTAGCAGTCTGTTATGGTTTGCTAGCCATAAAAAATGCTTAATACGGCTTGGACCCTTCCACCTCCACAGGTCTCTCCATGCATCAATTGGTGTGTTGTCCACATCCCCTGCCACCACTGATTAGGCTGACTTGAGCTTTTAACCTTCCATCCTTCTCAATGACCCAGACAGTTCGATCCTTTCCCAACTCAGAGTTAGGCGCATCTGTTCCTGCAATAAAAGAGATCATCTCATCAGGGAGGTACAGTCTCATTCTTTCCCAATCCCACTCACCTGACTCATCGATCCATCTAGAGACTGAAGCACTCAATTCTTCCTCAGTGAGCTCTTTCAAGGAAAATTCCTCAAGTATCAGGCCATTCTCCACCCAAGGGTGTATCCAAAACCCAGTTGTCTCCCCATTCCTGACACTCCATTGAGTGGCCTGTTTCATGAAGGGTAAGGCTTTAACAATTCCCTTCTAGAGTCTTGAGTGATTACTGCTTTTCATCTTCGTGATCCTGCCATTCTTGTGATGGAAATACTTCCCTTGCAAAACTTTCACCCAAAGATCTTGGTCATTATTGAACAGGTTCCAAGCAAGTTTAACCATATAAGCTAAGTTCAAGCTCCTAGCAGATTTAAGACCAAGCCCCCCCTGATCCTTAGGCTTACACACAGAATCCCAGGAAAGCATATGCACTTTCTTTTTACCCTCACCCGAACCCTAGACAAAATCTCTAATATTCTGGTCAATTAAGTCACAGATGGAAAGAGGGAGCATAGAGGTTTGCATAGCATATGAGGGAATGGAATTAAGGATAGAGGTAGCAAGAGTCACCCTCCCTGCCTCAGTAAAAAGAACCAAGTCGTCAGCAAAGAATAAATGAGAAAGGACAGGACCATGAGCTGACAACTTTACTGGTTTCCAGTTTCTAATATTCACTTCATGGAAAATGCAGTGGCTAAGTCTTTCAACACAAATAGTAAATAAGATAAGGGGTTAGGGGGCATCCCTGACGAAGGCCTCTGGCTAGTTTGAAGCTCTCAGTTTCCGTTCCATTCCACAAAACTTGCATCTCAGTGGTTGTTAACACTCCATCACCATTCTGACAAAGGTTCCTGGAAGTCCTGCACTGTGAAGTGTTTGTTCCAAGAAGTTCCAGTCAATCCTATCATAGGCCTTGGCAAGATCCACTTTTAAAAGCATTACTCCTTTCTTTCCAGTCTTTCTTGCCATGGAGTGGTC